ACATGAGTACCCGTGGGTGTCCTATAAGACTGATGTGAAGCAGTGTCCTCCTCATCCTAGTCAGGCTTGTAATCGGAACTGAGATGCTCTATCCCAGCCAATGTGTAGTCTAGTGAAAGGGTTGGCTCTAATGGGTGCTCAGCTGGAGTATAATCGGGCTCCACGTCATCATCTTCCTCCATCCCTGGGGTATTGATAGGTTGGGTCTGAGTCAACAAGTACCGTACGCTCCTCCTTTGATGAGGAAGTTTCCCTCCACGATCCAACGGGTGCCATGCTATTGGAAAACCTACATAAGAAATCAAGCATGAAAGATGTTTATGAGATTTGTGAAGATCAATTAAATCCTATATAGTATCCAATTACAAGTATGTAATAGATAGTACGTGTAACTCCCGAGTCCTCATAGTATGTCGTAAGTCGGTGTTTCCTATGGAAGAAAATCCTCAAGTGTGGATGTCGTTGAATTGGAAATCCCCAAACATAGAAGTCTTTAGAAGAAGCCTCTGAGTATAGAATCATGGCCTATTCATCCAATCGAGAAGTCCTCAAGCATTTAGATTTCCAACCACCGTATTCGAGTTCGGTCATGCATTGGTCGAGCCAAAATAAAACTTAGTTGCATATTCTAAGTCTAGTTGTGGTACAACCATTGTACTATCGAACTCTAAATATGGTTTTTGACCTAAAATCCTGAGTTGCGGCTTTGTGGGTTTGTATTGGTGAGCAGTAGTTACACTTATACGAGTATATACATATCGCTCTATATCTTTTAATCTTTTTTTTTGGTTTGGTTGTATCTTATTTTTAGGGTTTTATACTCCAAGACTATCAATTAAGGATCAGCAAGATGATAAGTACCTGATGGTAGGACCATTTTAGCATATAGTCGTTCTAAATCCAGCAACCCAAGCGATAGTTCAAACTAGCCACCTCTTTTGTAAGTAGTCAAGAAGTAGGGTAATTAATACTTATACTTACTATTACACTTAAAGGGTTAAACCTAATCAGAGTGTAACCCTAGGTTATAGTTGTATTTCCTAAGGAATTACTAGTTCACTATAATCAATAGCTCTAATACCAATCTTTCATACACCTAGCCGACGGCCGAAGCTCTAGACAGTGCAACGTTGGGATGTTGGGATTTAGGTCAAAGATATACATTGAGTAATACACAGGATGTACTAACCAACATAACTATTTATTCATTAAATAAAATATGTTACACTATTGTTCGAGATAAAGTAGGTTACGAAAGCAAAGTATAAAGGTAAAGCACAAAAGTTTACGGTTTCATCATAGGGGTTATCTCCTCCTTCAAACGAGTTTATTCTCCTGAAAATACATGTGGTTTGAGAGGTCAACATAATGTTGGCGAATCCACAAGTTTATGATTTTAAAATGTTGAGTGGATATTTTAGTTTTACCTTGTTAATCCTACACTAGCTTTCTCAAGTTTGTGTGTACTATCACTACTTTCTTAGGTTGGTTCCTAGTAGTAGTTTAATATAGTTAGTTTTAGTTTAACAAAGTTACGACGAGTTCCTATAATCGATCTATCATTGTTTATCCTAAAGACCACGACGCTTCATTGGACGTCTCTATGTGTTTAGAAAGTAATGATTGCTTCGACTTGTCGTCGATTTGTAGAAACCAACCACCGGTGGGAGTGTCAATCTCGTATAGATCTATACATATCTCTCCCGCTCACTTAAGATATAACGATTATAGGCTGAGGGCCAACTGAAAATCTATCAGCATGTTGATGAATCATGTCTCATCTAACTCTTTTTGTGGGTGGCTCCCCTGGTGGGTCGTGTTGTTATTTGCGTTATATTTATATAGGTTTACTTATTTTGTGTGTGTGTGTGTGTGTGTGTGTGTGTGTATATGTATATATATATATATAGTGTATTTTGCGTAGTTAAGTATTTAGGCAGAGTAACACTAGGTACTAAGCTTATCCAAAAGGTGGCTATAATAATGCGTTTCAGCGTTTCCTGGAAATTGGCAAGTGTAACAACTAGGTATGATCTTATCTATCATTGGGATTCATTATAACAACTAGACATAATATAACCTAAAAAGTTTGGGTAGAGTATCTACCGGGCATAATATCATCTTAATGTTATGAGCATAATTATCTAACTTCAGTTAGTAATAACTATGTAAAGTCACATTATAAACGTATACCCCCCCCCCACCCCCACCCCCCCACCCCCCGGAAAGGATTTGGAAAATGGAGTCGTGAACTCACATGTGAGTTATGAAAACATTGTTGTAGGGTCTAAACCACAAGTTAGTACTTCCGAGAGGCGCCTGGGGCAGTGGCATGTGAATCGAGATAGAGAAAGAACGTATAAGAGGGCTGAGGAAATGATATGCTAAAGCTTTCTATTTATAGCAAGTTTTGGAGTTTGCGCCGCATGTTACGCACCGCACAAATACACATGAAACGTACAATGTTGCCACGTGTCATCCCATCAGTGTTCCACGTCACCCGGTATCCAGGCATATCAACTGTCAGGTGTGCGCAGCACACTGCACGTGAACGCGCATGACGGTAAAAATCAAACTTTGAAATTCCATAACTCTCACATACGATTCATTCTCAATGACTCTTATATATCTGTGTATGTCTCATCATTCTCTGTGACTCTCTTTTTGGTTGTTTTGTCTAGTTTTGACTTTTGTTTTTCGACGAGTTGATCATATAAAATCATAACTCTCTCCTTTGACTTCTGTTTTAGGTGTTCATTGCCTCATAATTCCTACTTTAAGTAGTACTTCGGTTGATTAGTTTGTGACTTTTTCCAAAAGTCAACCAATCTCTCTGTAGTTATCGTCGTTGTAATTTTTTTAATTGCGGTAGATATTTATTTACTACAAATGTCATATCCCACTCATAGCGTGTCGGATTCTTATGGAATCTGTATTTTTGGAATCGTGGTGACTTAAGGAGTCTAAATATGCTAACACTCAAAGTGTCGTGACTTTTTACGCACTTATTTTTTAGCCTAACAGTTGACATAATTAAGGACGAAAAATTTGAATATATTAAAATATAACGTGTGATTACAAAGATGTCCTTATTACATTTTTACGTCCTAAATTTTAACGGCGATTGGTGACGTATTATCTGGGTTGTCACATTAGCGATGTACATTGATATATGTTGTGTGGTGAAATGGAACATTTTGAACATGCAACACAATAATACTCGTGAAGATGCTTAGCAATTTTTATTTGGTATGGACAGGTAAACTATCTTAAATATGCTTTGCCAAGAATAAAGTGTGCTTGTGCATGTTTATCAACAATGATAATTGTCAAAAAAAAAAAATGGGTTCGTACAAGTTTGCATACATTGTATTCTCAAAGATGGTGGTTATTTTATTAGAATCCGAGAAATGAGGTTGTGTGGTAAAAACATCTACAATGATGAATTAAATGGGAGGGTCAAATGAAATAGTCGAATGAGATGGTAAGTCTATTTGTCATTCAATGCATTAAACTACACCATAATGAGATGTCACATTCTCATTTAATGGATTTTGAGTTCAATGATCATTAAACTTTTCAATGAGAAAAAGGAAAATTCTTAATTCTTAAGTATATGCTATAAATTAGTTTTTATAATTTTCTATTGAATTTTATAAAGTTTAATGCATTGTAGAAAAATATAGAATTGTATAGAATGTAAAAAACTGTTACGACAATCCGTTAAACTCTTTGGAGTTTAATGCATTGTGTATGCCCTAATACACTTCCCCTTTATACTCTTTGTTATTTAAATAATTCTTTTCAAAATATAATACAACTAGTAATTGATCCCACATTTTTCTGTGGGGTTTTACATGTTTCTTTTGCGTATTAGGAGTGAAAATTTATTAAACCGATGATGTTTTACAAAGTTCAAAGTTAAAGAGGTCAAAATTACATTTAAAAATAGAGGGGTAAAAAATGTTTTTTACAAAGTAAAGGAGTGAAAATCATATTTTATATATATATATATATATATATATATATATATATATATATATATATATATATATATATATATATATATATATATATATATATATATATACATACTACGAAGACTAGAGATAAACACGAAATTCTAGAAAATAAATGGGTAAAAGTTACATTCTACAAAGCTGAAGGTGGATGGGGTGAAAGTAAAATTTTAAAAAGTAATTGGATGAAAAATATAATTTTACAAAATAAAAGGCTAGTAATCAACTATACAAGGTTGAAGGATTAAAGTTTCACTTTATGGGCGTGTTTGGTAAAAGTAATTGTTAGTTGGAAGCGGGTAGCGGTTAGCTATAACTTTTATTTGTTATATGAATGTTTGACAAAAGTAGCTGGAAGCTTTTGAAATCTATAAAATTACATAAAAGGACAATTGATTAAAAATAAATAAATATATAAATATATTTTTAAGGGTAATTATGTAAATTGATTTCAAAGCACGGGAGCGTTTTGTTAAACGCTACATGAAGTAGCTTATAGAATCGGAGCGTTTTGTTAAAACTAAAAGCTAAATGCTCGTACTACCAAATGAAGTTTTTTGTTTAAATTAGAACGTTTTATCAAAAGTTAAAAGCTAGAAGCTCTCAAACGCTTCCAAAAGCTCCGTGCCAAACACGCCTATATGTATGGACATACTTGTACATTTAATGGTTATACTATTAGCTATATTTAGTTCATATATAGTCCAACAACTAAAACCGGATTGAAGTGTTGATTTGATTTTTCTAATCCAAATACGTTGTTTCTACAAGTTGTATTTTACAAATTATTTCATTAATTATAAAAATACATAATATTATTTCATTAGTCATAATAATATGTATTTTTACGATGAAAATAACAATATGCATGTGAAAATCTAAATCCATTCATATAGGTTTCATGTGTATCGGTGTACATTGTATTCCCCCCTATATTTATAATCCTCATCTTCTATGCACCCACCAAACACACTCCAAATAATGTTGATCCCCACTCTTCTTATACTCTCTCTTCTCTTTGCGACATCGTCTGCATCTGTGCACGACTTTTGTGTAGCTGATTTGTCACAGTCCGACACTCCTTTAGGTTTCCCATGCAAAGATCCCAAGAAAATAACGGCAGATGATTTTGCTTTCTCGGGCCTTGGTGAACCCGGGAACACGACCAATCCCATCAATGCTTATGTCACTCCAGCATTCACTCCCCAGTTTCCGGCTGTGAATGGGCTTTGGATATCCATGGCTATACCGATGCACACTCACCCTGGAGGCACGGAAATGTTGTATCTCATCAAAGGGACTACTTGTGTTGGATTCATATCGTATGATAATACTTTGTATGCCAAGACGATAAAAGAAGGGGATACTTTTCTTTTTCCACAAGGGCTGGAACACTTTATAAAAAATTGTGGTACGAAACCCGTATTTGGAATCACTAGCTTCAGTAGTTCGATGCCGGGAATGCAATTACTAGAACTGATGTACCAACGAAAGTGGTGTCTGGGACAGCTTTATTGGATTCAGCACAAGTTAAGAAACTCAAGGGTGTTCTTGGTGGGTTTGGTTAAGGTTGCTTTTGGGTTTCAAGTTCTTGATTTACTCTCATCTTGTTGTCGTTTGTTTGTTGTAGTACCAAGCATCTAGTGATTTAGATGTTTGGTGATGTTCGTTTTTAACGGTTTTTTTTTTTAATTTGGTAAGCTTAGGGATATTTTAGAATGGAATGTTGTAAGCTCAAATGAGAGGGATTTAAATGGCCTTAAGCTTTGGAATAAGCAGCAGTTGTGTTGATTTCCACGTTAGACCTTGTTATTCTAAAAACTCATACTAATATGCTTTCTAACATTGAAGGAAAGGTTGGCGGGGTTGTCTTAGAGAAAGCGTGTATTTGACATTACCTTCCTAAAAGGAGGATTTTTTCAACATAAAAAACCAAAAATCAATTATAATAAATTTTACATGGAATCGTTGGATGGTTGATAAAATAGATAATTTCATTTGTTAAAATCTCAATCTTATCATAGATCCATAGCCATCCTGCGATTTCATCAAGGTAAATCGGTCTCGATCTTACTTGGTTTTATTTTTGTTTAGATCGGAATAAAATTGTAGAATCGGATGGTAATATCATATGATTGGTTGTAAAATTGTACGGTATAATCTACCTACTTATAAAATAATGAAAATAATGACATGTGGAATCCACTAATTCTCCCTCTTAATTTGTTTTTTCATTTTGATATTTGTTTTGATTTAACGAGTATAAGATGAGTAGAAATAAAATGTAAGAAAATAATTTGATTTCTCATATTTATATAGGACTATGTTATCCTTAACAAGTTGAACTACAAATCAATATTAAAACTTATAGGTATACCATCTAATTTTTACACATGATTATGGTCGATAGAAATACTACAAAAATGATGCAAGTCGAAATTGCATCCCCAAATGAAATAATTTGGACATGATAGTCTGGCCCAATGATGGGCCTATAATTTTAGAACACCTCCCAAATTTTGGTTACTTTATCCAAACCCCAAAAGGTTGGCACTAAAGATTCCCAAAATCCATTATATAAGAGATAAATCAAATACTTAACGATCCATCTCAATGATCACGAAGTAATTAGGGAAAACCCTTATACGTTCATTGTCAAGCCTCCACCATGGTTTTTTATTGGGAAAATGACTTAAAAACCCAACGAAGTTTCCATACCGTTTATAAAACTCCAATCATGTTTTGTCTGTTCAAAAAAACTCAACAAACTTAACATTTTATCTAAAAAGCCCAACTAAGTTACACTTTTTCGAAAGTCAAATAAGGAAAACAGATGACGTGGCTTATTACCGTATCGGAAAAATGACTTGTTAGACCAACGAAGTTTTCAAAACGTTTAAAAAACTCCAATCATATTTTGACTGTTCAAAAAAAACCCAACGAACTTAAACAAAACAAAATTTGAATTTTCTAAACGGTTTGAAACTTTGTTGGACTTTTTAGACAAAATGTTAGGTTCGTTGGGTTTTTTTGAACAGACAAAACATGATTGGAGTTTTTTGAATGGTTTGAAAACTTCGTTGGGCGTTTAAGTCATTTTCCCTTTTTTATTTTATTTTATCCTAAACCCTAAGCATATCAACCTGAGACCAATTAAGCTACAAGGGATCCACTTTAAAGTTAATGCATTTCCAAATGCTTTCACTGTTCCATAAAAACATGTTTGTTAGGCTATATGGTATGGAGCATTTTACACATGTAGAAATCCTATGTAAAGGGTATTTTCACTAGTAACCACCATCCCAAAACATATGGTAATTGTCTTGTAGAGTGGGGGTTGTCACGGATGTTTGAGGAAGTGTTTAGGACCTAATGTTACTTTTATCTAGTTATTCAAAAAGTGAAAAACATGAATCTTGTATGATATAAGTTGTGCAACTAGTATTACATTACATGGTTTCTATTATCCCTCCTATTTTATAATAAAACTAGGCATATGTCCGCGTGTTGCACATGTTAAAAAATTTTGTTAAAATATTGAAAAAGTATATGTTGTTTAAATGATTATGTTATTGACATTAGTATTAGCATAATAATTTTTACACTAAATTTATATATATAATCTCAACAATTTTGAACAATATTACTCAATGACATCTATTCGCTTCGAACAAGATTTAGTTTATCAAAGAAAGGAATTGAGTTAGAGTCCCTGGTATGTCCGGTTTGTGAGGTGGGGATTGAAACTACTCAGCATTGTTTTTTTCTTTGTCAAGTGGCGATGGAAGTATGGAGTTCGGTGGCTCGTTGGTGTGACATTGTACTCCTTGTGTCGAGTTTTATATATATCTGAATGGATCTCATGGGTTGATGATTCTACATGGTCAGTCAATCGAAAATTGAAATTTGAGGTAATCATAATGACCACAATATAGGTGATGGAAACAAAGGAATTCAGTGGTTTTTTATGATAACTTGATACATAAAAGTTTTATTTTTGACTTAATGGTTTTGAATTCTTTTTCATGGTTGAATAACCGAGCTTCCAAAATTGATGTAAATTGGAATACTTTAATTCAATGTCCTTTGTAAGGTGATTTTTGTTTTTTTGTTCCAGTTACTTGCTAGAACTTAAATATATGAAATATATTGTTGTTAAAAAAATAGCATCTACTCGCTACTTGCGTGTAAATAAATTTGAATACTATTCTCGATAGTGTTATTTTTTTAATAATTGTTATGTTACTTTTTAACTATTGATGTTAATTAATTTACAAAATCATTTGGAAAAAAAATCATTATTATAAACAAAAATAGTATTTTGATATTATTTTAGTTAATTTGACACGTTTAAACATTTTACTGATTTAAAATACAAAAAATTAAATAAAAAAAATCTTTGCTCATTTTTTAAGTTTATTTAAGCTTTGCTTTAGGTTTTAAATTCTATACTATATTTAAATTAACAAATCAAATATATTAAATTGATAATTTAAATTTTGAAATAGACATTTTATTTAACATCATATTTAAATCTATAATTTAAAAAAAAAAAAAAAAAAAAAACACACACTAATATATTATATTGTTAATTTGAATAATCTTACATATTAATGATAATGCCTTATATTTAATAAGTTAAATAAGGTAGAAGTAGAAATAACAAGATTTTCAAAACAATTTAATGATTCAAATATATATATATATATATATATATATATATATATATATATATATATATATATATATATATATGTGTGTGTGTGTGTATGTGTGTGTGTGTGACATCCCCATTTTTCACAGTCAGAAAAGACCGATTTGTTTACGCTTGTTTAAAAATCATAGTAATCGTTTACAGAAAACAGTTGCGGAATTTGTTCCCAAAACAAATTATGATAAGAATTTATCAAATCATTTCTTTAAAGAAATTTATTTTCATTAAATAACAAAATCTCGGGATGTCAAGTTCCGATACAGACCTATAACACCGTAATTTTTCAAACAATTTTTTTGAAAATTAAAATAGTTTATCTCTTTAATACTTTTCATAAAAATCCCATTTGTTTAAGTTGCAATGCATAACTCTTTTGTTCAATCAATTAATAAACCAGGATCTTTAAAACAAACGTTTCCCCTGGTATGTACAATCGAGCCGGTGCCGTCCCGTGAACCTGAGAAACCTGAAACACATAACACAAAACACTGTAAGCACGAAGTTTAGTGAGTTCCCCAAAATACCACTCTAACACATATTAGTTACTCAAGGCTATAACTCTGCGGGCCCTTGGGCCCTAACTTTGTGTGTCTCAGTGGGACCCTCCAGTCCCAACTCTCTGTGGACCCTCTGGTCCTAACTCTATGGACCCAAAGGTCCTAACTCTGATAACTCAGAATCATGCATATCACATATCACAATAAATCTCATAAAATAAATAACATACAATTACACTGACACATAACTCTAAACCTAACTCTGTGGACCCTCTGGTCCTAGCTCTGTGGAGCTTCCGGTACTAACTCTGATATACACACAACATAAATCACATAGAAATAATGCAGTGCCACACATCGCATAGATAGCATACAATAACTCTGTCACATAACTCTATTACCACTCTAGGTAAAGTATAGTGAGAAGACTCACCTGCTACTGCCGACTGAAGAACAAGATCACGCTACTCCGACCACCGACAGGAACTCCACCACTGAATCACCGAAACCAATAAATACCAATAACAACCAAAATACCCCTGGAAGTCAACTGCTCAACTCTTGGTCAAAGTCAAAGTCCTCAGTCAAAGCCAACCCTCCTGACTGACTCTACTCGCCGAGTCAACCCGCTGACTCGTCGAGTCCCCATGCTCTGAAACTCCCATAACACGACTCAACTCGTCGAGTCGCCCCAAGGCTCGCCGAGTCCCACAACTCTGAGTCAAACCGTACTCAACTCACTGAGTCATCCCTTGACTCACCGATTCTCAGCTTAACCAGAAAAGGTTAGGACCTCAAGACTAAACTCGTCGAGTCCAAGAACAGACTCGCCGAGTCCAAGGCTATCTTCAACTAACTCGCCGAGTTTCTGTCTATTTTCATGCAACTCGCTGAGTGCACCCATGTGACTCGCCGAGTACCACTAGCTCTTAACTCATACAGAGGCTTTCCAAGCCATGTAGGGTCTCCAATCCATAGATCTACTCCTATACAAGCCATCCATCACGTAAAGTGGCAAACTTTACATGAATCCAAGGAGATCTAAGCATAATACACTCTTGGGCTAAGGTTTGGGGCTAAAAGACTTCATCAACAGCTCTTGAACAGGGACTTTATGCTCTTTTGGATTATCAATACTCTAGATCTGAGGTAGCAACCTCAGATCTAACCTCCAAACTCAAGATAGCACTAGATATACACCCAAAAATCCCACAATGATAGATCTAGATGGACAACATCTCAAGCAACGAATTATTACCTCAAAAGAAGGCTCCAACAGAAGAATAAGTCAAAACCTTGAAAATCCCCTTGCTCCAAGCCTCTTAATCTTCAAAGATCTCTTCAACAAACACCCCTTCAAGATCCAAATGTTCTATAATTCTCTCACAACGAATATTAGGGTTTCTGGACTTCAAGGGAGAGCAAAGAGGCTG